GACCTACTTCTTGCGCAGTCGACCAACAGAAGACCCACTTGACGGCCAATATTAATCCGGTGCGAGTGTGTTTAAGGAGTCTGTTCTAGACTTCGGCTGTCTTCTGCCCAAGCTCGGACTCTAGAACAGGATCGGAAACGTCGGAAGCACTGTCTGACGCATCTGCCTCCGCGACCCGAAAGGAGAAGCGATGAAAGAAAATGAAGATGGAGCTAATTCTACGTAGGGTCCACGCTATCGGTAATAGACTTAGAAAAGTTCAAACACTGATAAGCTTATGATCCATGATAGAATAATTCATTTATAAACAAAGTAATACATTCAGGGCATCGAGACACTAAATTATTTCATTCAATTATTCAGTAGAGCATGTGCAAAATTAAACCCTAATAAATACCACCTACTCGTCGCCTAAGTATCTAAGAGCAATAGGTAAAATAGCGAGAAGTCTAGTTTAGAAAGACTTAACGTGTTTAGTAATATACTGTGGCGTATGAAGCCATGTGTCTATTGAATTTTTAGTTTTGTACTCAGATTCAATTTGAATACTTTGCTTCGGTGCTGGTAACAATTACATGAAAACAGCATGAAACAGGTTTACTTCCTCAGTGCAATCTATGGTCAGTTAAGCCTTTAAAGACCGATTTATTAATATTGCAATAAACTTACACAATTCAACTGATTATAAAATGATTGAAAATTACTACACTACAAGAGTGCACTGATGTTCATGCAATCAACCTTAAATTTAATGATCATCGTAGAATGCTGTCTTACATCTATTTCGTTTATAACTCCTTCTTCGTGTTCTCGATAGACAGTGCACATGAAAGTCAATCTGGGACTTATCTGACAGTAGTGATTAACCATTTCCTCCATCATGAGTGCTTTTACCTCATTACGGTATTGATTCGTCCCTCCTCTCTCAGCTGCAGGTGCAGACAGCGAACGACAACCTATCTGATTTATTTTTATCTGGCAGAAAATCTTTATAACAGCCTCTCGTCATTCAGATTTCACACCGCTGCTGCAATGCGGATCGAGAGAAGAGCAGGAAACTATGCTAATTTCTACGTGCTGATTTAGATATTAGTCGGTGGAACCGACACCGGCCTGGTATACCTTCTCAAATTTGTCTGGCTTACAGCCGCAGAGGAAGGACCTCACTCTTCTGGGCTGGTAGCCCCACCTTGACAGAAAGATCCGCCATAATATGCACTCTGTTATCTTTGCAGAGAGCCAAAGCCGCGTCATTGTAAAGCGCTGAGCTAGGATTTTGCGACATATCTTATGGCCACATTCATAACCTGGTTTCCCGTGCATTTACTGTTATTCATTTATTCTTTACTTCCTGCTTCTGTTTTTATTTATGTTGAAAAACAAGATTTTTTCGTAATCTTGTTCAACCAGTAAACTTTCACTTCAATTTCACAGATGAAGTGCGTCTCACATGGGGCGTTATTTCTGATTTCAACAGCTGATAAGGGCTGGAAAACAAATACTTAGTCACTAAGAGTTAGTTTAACATAAATGACTGCATTTGATTAATCAGGATCGTTCATCTTGATGGTCTTCGACTCTGCGCTGTGACCTAAAAAATCAAAAAGCCATCAGTAGGAGAGAACACAAACCTTATTCTTATCATGTATTGCCCTGGAATTAGATCCCCTGTTTTAGTGGTTGCCACCCTCCCCCCACCAGACGTTAGCGCCAAAACTAAACATGCAAAAGTTCGTAGAAACTTAACAGTGAAAGATGCTACAATTCCTTTTATAGGTCAACGATTCAAGCAGAACTCAAAACAACGGTGCCACCTAATCAGCTGAGGAACTTTAATACTGGTCAAGAGTTTACCACGTAACTCAGAATAGGGCAGTAATTAACACATTCTGTTCATTAGCTGTCATGCAAATTGTAGCAGACAAAAAATATACAGATAAAGGTTGCAGATCAGAAAATACACCTATTCACACGCGAAACTTCCGGAACAACAGAACATTTTCTTTTATCAGCGTGTCCAAAATGTTCGATGTAATAACATAATCGA